AAATTTTTGAAAAAGAATACAAATTTCACAAGAAGATGAATACTTTTGACTTCAGCTGTGTGGTTGACACTATTTCAATGAACATTTTTTAAATTGAAATAACATCCCATTTCCACTCATTGACAACTTTAAAACATTTACTTAAAATATATATTTTTAAAGTATTTAAAAATAAAACAAAAATAATATTAATATTAGGCTGTAAACAGTGTGTTCATGTTTTCATTATTATCCAATATTATATATTATTTTATTATAATAAATTAGTTATATAAAAATTAGTAATACAATAATATTAAAGGCGCAGTATGTTAGTTTGACACCCAGTGGTTAAACTAGGTATTGCATTCCTGGATCAAAAATAAATGCAAGAGCAGGTTGCCAGATTGAAAACCAAGGAGTGAGTCTGATGATTGAGCCTAAATGCTGATTTAAATTTTGTTCAAATAACAGCAACAGCACATGATAGAAGCAATATTCTCCATATTAAAAGGAGTTTTTGTTCTTACAAACTTCTCGAAAGTATATATTAGAAACGGCTTCTATTTCTTGCAGCTGAACATCCGAAAACATCATGTGTACCTGAGGTTAAATTCAGTGCTAGATTCAGTGTTAAATGGCAACAATGTGAGTTTGAATGCCGTTTTACCGACATTTATTAACATATTACTGAAAGCAGCAGCAGATAGTTCACCTCAGATCTTGACAATAAAATAAACCGTCTGAAACTGAACTTTATAGCTCAGAAATAATGCAAACCAACCCATATCAGTAATTCAGCATGTGCATTTAATAATGTTAAAGAGGTTTAATATGTATTAATTAGATCATAAAATTTACCATTTCATTAGTGAGTGCATATTCTGTGCTTCTGAATGGCTGTGTTTACATTTATGTCATGTTCCGTCTGGTGCAAACAGCCAAATTGCTTATCACTGCAAATCTCGTCACGTAGCGTGTTGTTAGGAAACGGGTTACCTAATGTTTATGCTCGTAATATTTATACTATTTTTTAATGAATAACCTCATGTGGAACTTTGAATCTGTGTCTCATGTTGGAGTCTGCTACTGTCCACCAGAGGTTGCATTTCAGTCACAGGCGCATGCTTTGAGAGCCTTTCTGAATGAATGAATGAATGAAATACACGGTTTTCCAACAAGGCAACCCGGGGTGCTGAAATATAATTAGCTAAACTGGCATTGGCGGGTTAAAAGAACGAAACAAAGACAGCCGTTCCAACATGGAAAACACATTTTCAAAGCAGAATCTCCGACTTCAGCATTGCTTTTCAGATAAACAAGAATGTTTCTAAAATATCTGCTAACATATTATTATGGTATTTTATATACTTTTATACTGCATAGTTAATGAAGCAGGTTTTCCTGGATGGAGAGAGAAAGCAGAAGAGGAGAAGAAACACTGACTCATCAACAATGGAGCATTTATAAACTAACATCTATAGCTGCATCATCTTGACTTTAAACCAATAAGTCAGGATCTCTCACTGCTTCACTAAATCCCTTGAAACCTCAATTTTACAACGTGAGGTTTTATACCTCAAATTTGTTTAACGGTTTCTTTGCTGAAGCTGTTCCAGAGCAATACATAAATATGACCACTAGGTGTCACTGTAGAGACGGATTTCGAAAGGTTTCGAAGCTTCGACACATTTGCTTCGACTGTTTCATGAACTTTGAATCTGTGTCTCATGTTGGAGTCTGCTACTGTCCACCAGAGGTTGCATTTCAGTCACAGGCGCATGCTTTGAGAGCCTTTCTGAATGAATGAATGAATGAATGAATGAATGAATGAATGAATGAATGAATGAAATACACGGTTTTCCAACAAGGCAACCTAAGGTGCTGAAATATAATTAGCTAAACTGGCATTGGCGGGTTAAAAGAACGAAACAAAGACAGCCATTCCAACATGGAAAACACATTTTCAAAGCAGAATTTCCGACTTCAGCATTGCTTTTCAGATAAACAAGAATGTTTCTAAAATATCTGCTAACATATTATTATGGTATTTTTATACTTTAGAAGAATCAAAAACTTACATCCAGCACTTTATATAAATTATGTTTGCATTCTCAATGAAATCATCAAACCAAGAATTGTAATTAAAATCCATAAATTTTAATTTGTGCTAAAACTGCATCTGCTGAAACTAAAGTTTAATTCAGCTGAAATCCAAAAATAATGTTTGGCCAGTGATTCCGACTCTCAAAAATGTTGTCGATTACGAGTTATGATATAATAATTATAATATAATTATAACCATATCCTCCATTCACTCATGCTTTTTCGAGCCAGGGTATTTTCTAATAAAGTTACTCATGTGGCTCCCAGCTCAACTTGCTGATTGAATAGGCTGGTTTGTTCATAAAATTACATTTTCAATCCCTTCATTTTATTTCAGGCTCACCTTGTTAAATACAATTAATATCAGTCTTCATTTACTGAACAACACTAATGCGTTTTATCACAGTGAGCCATTGGCTACCATGTTTTCTGCAGCACAGTTGGACTGAAGGAACACGTTCACACACACTCACATGCACACACTAATCCTGTATTTCCCCAGGAGACCTGCAGCTCCTGCATAGTTAATGAAGCAGGTTTTCCTGGATGGAGAGAGAAAGCAGAAAAGGAGGAGAAACACTGATTTAACCCTTTCCTCATCGCAGAATCAAACTCTGAATAAACAATAATTTAAAGTTGAGAAAACTCATGGAAGAGATGCTTGAAAAAATGCTTGCTTGTATATTTATTTAACAGACAAAATACTCCTTTGTTATATTGTTATTATTAATAATAATCCTATTTAAAAATATATCAAATAAAATCAAAGTTTACTTCTAGAGCAAACTTAATTACAACCTTCGGTTGACCAAAGTACTGTACAATAGCAGTAGCAGGTAAAAAACAGCAATACAGTTAATATAAACAATATAAAACAAAAGTAATAAAAATTTCCAAAAAGAAGCAATTTAGTATAGCCTGGAACTGCCGTTAAGGAATATTCATTGCACGTGAAAAAAGATTCTTTAACATCGATTTAAAAACAGATAGAGTGGGTGCTATACTGATTTTTAATGGTAACTTATTCCATAGTTTCAAACACACAATTGCACAAAGGCTCTATCGCCCCTGCATTTAAGATGAGATCGAGGTATTTGCAATAGATGGCAGTCGGTATTTGATCTAAGTGATCAGGTTTGGGCCTTAGTACTGATCAGATCAGAAAGATACGGTAGCACTAGGTTGTCCAAGGGTTTATAAAATAAGAGTAAAATGAAGAAGAAGAAGAAGAATTATTATTTCACTGTAAAACCCAATGAGTTAAGGTAACTCAAACCATATGAGGAAATCGATTGCAACAAAACATTTAAGTTCAAAAATTAAACCTAATGAGTACTGTGAACTTAATCCATTTGACTAAACAAAGCAATTTGAGCACAGTAAAACCCAATAAATGATGAGAACTCAAACCAACTAAGTACTGTAAAACCTAATAAGTTGAGGCAACTCAAACCAGTTGAGGACACTGATTACTACACGCCATGAGTTAAAAAAAACTAATCTATAGGAGTACTGTGAACTTACTCCATTTAAGTTGAAGTAATGAGGTATTTAATTAACTCAATACTTTAAACAATGAATTCAAAACTCTTTTCATTCATTCATTCATTCATTTTCTTTTTGGCTTAGTCCCTTTATTAATCCGGGGTCGCCACAGCGGAATGAACCGCCAACTTATCCAGCACGTTTTTACACAGCGAATGCCCTTCCAGCAGCAACCCATCTCTGGGAAACAATCATACACACTCATTCACACATATACACTACTGACAATTCAGCCTACCCAGTTAACCTGTACCACATGTCTTTGGACTGTGGGGGAAACCGGAGCACCCAGAGGAAATTTACTATCAGTCAAATTTGAGTTAGCTACACTCAATTAATTTGATACAGTTGACTGTTGGGTTTTATGTTGTTATATTATTATTATTTTATAAATATAATCATATTTCAATAATAATAACAATAATGGTTTCTATATTACTAATACTACTAATAATAAAAGTTTCTTTAATTTATTATAAAAAAATTATTATTTAATCGTATATATATTTTATATTTTCTAAATAAAAATGTAAATGGAAAATGCAAATATAACACTTTATATATACACACACATATACACATAAACAAACACACACTCACTGTACTGTATACTTATGATTGCAGTTGGTCTTATATAATGCTAATTAAATATGTATAAACATTTCGCAAAGCTGGATTATTAAACAACCGTCACAAAACAAAACCTGAGATGTGCTGATCATTTATTTACATAGAATCAAAACTAAACATTCATTCATTCATTCATTTTTTTGTCTTAGTCCCTTTATTAATCTGGGGTCGCCACAGCAGAATGAACTGCTAACTTATCCATCACATGTTTTATGCAGTGGATGCCCTTCCATCTGCAAGCCATCAATGGGAAACACCCATACATTCTCGCATTCACACACATACACTACAGACAATTTAGCTTACTCAATTCACTTATAGTGCAAATTTTTGGACTGTAGGGGAAACCGGAGCACCAGGAGGAAACACACATCTACATGGGGAGAACATGCAAACTCCACACAGAAATGCCAACTGACCCAGCTGAGGCTTAAACTAGTGACCTTCTGGCTGAGAGGGGACAGCACAACCCACTGCACCCCCTCCCCCCCACCTCCACCCCTTAAAACTAAACATTTTCTATAAAATTAGTTATGTGTGCACATTTGTTCATGTAGTGCCTATTCAAAATTTAAATCTTGTTTAACTCACTTTTTATGCTGTGATTTTCTGTATCAATCTGTAATTTAGCATCTTCATAGCTGTTGACTTGATCTCTGAATGTGAATTTATGTTGTAAATGACGTTCACTCTCTGCACTTTAACTCACGGTTTGTTTTCTCTGTGTGTTTTTGTGTCAGTGCTGGATATGATGCCGTCCTGGACAGAAATGTGGCCATTAAGAAACTCAGCAGACCCTTCCAGAACCAGACTCATGCTAAGAGAGCGTATCGAGAGCTGGTGCTTATGAAGTGTGTCAACCACAAAAACGTGAGTGTCGCGTCAAATTACTAAAAACGAATTAAATAATAAAAATCATTAATGAATTAATAAAAATAATCAAACCCTGATCAAACATTTGTTTTATTGTTAATTTTATTATTATGATTATTAATATGAGTATTATTATTAGTATTAAAATTATTATCAGTAAATGATGTTGTAAAATGAGATAATGGCTTAAAAATTATAATTTATTAGAATAATATATATATATATATATATATATATATATATATATATATATATATATATATATATATTTAGATTAAGGTTATTTAATTTTGGTTTGATTAAAGTCATCAATCTAGCATTGAGAATTATATGCATTATTTTGTTCACAATTTCAAATAAATCCTTATTATTATAAATAGTAGGGATGGACCAACACAACAACAATAACAACAACAACTACTACTACTACTACTACTACTACTACTACTAATAATAATAAAAATAATAATAATAAAACCAAAAATATGTATTTGTTTGCTTGTGTGTTTATGTATTTCTGTAAGTATGTAGTTGCTTATGCATGTTTTTTTATACATTTTTATTTTAGTTTTTGTTGTTTTATTTGTTGTTTTGTTTTTGTTTTATTTTAGTTTTTTGTTGTTTTATTTTGTCGTTTTGTTTTTGTTTTTGTTTTTGTTGTTTTGTTCTTGTTGTTCTTTTATTTGAGTTTTTTGTTGTTTTGTTTTCTTAGATTTTTTGTTGTTTTATTTTTGTAGTTTTTTGTTTTATTTTTGTTGTTTTGTTTTATTTTAGTTTTTTTTTCTTTTGAGTTTTTTGTTGTTTTGTTTTCTTTGAGTTTTATTTTTGTTTTGTTTTATTTTTGTTGTTTTATTTTAGTTTATTGTTGTTTTGTTGTTGTTGTTTTTTTAGTTTTTTGATTTTTTGTTTTATTTTTGTTTTCGTTGTTTTATTTATATTTTTGTTGTTTTGTTTTCATTTTATTTTAGTTTTGTTGTTGGTTTGTTTTGTTTTATTTTAGTTTTTTGTTGTTTTATTTTTGTTGTTTTGTTTTGTCTCTTAACTCTTCTGAATTGTAAACATTTAGTATTATGTTGTCTAAAAACGAATATAAAACACATTATTAATATTATTATTATTATTAGTAGTAGTAGTAGTAGTAGTAGTATAAATAAAAGTATATTAACTCATAACAAATCAAGGTAAAAATATATCAAATATTTCAAAAACACTTCAGAAAAGCGAAAACATGTCCACCCCTAAAATGTCAACAGTTTCAACTGACCATCATATTGATCATCACTGTACAGATCTGGTCCAGTGGATGATGAAAATAAACCAATATGAAAGTGGATTAATCTTGTTAAGAGAGGAAAGTTTTTTTTTTTTTTTTTTTCCAGCAGAACATTTGTCAGATCTGCTGTCCTCCTCTTTCTCCCTCTCAGTCACCCAGAATGGGCTTTTAAAGGACAGCAGTGACGTGACTGAAATACTAATGTGCTTTTTTTCTGTCATCTTCACCTCTTATCGACTGCTCAATGCTGCTTTATGGATCTCAGCCTCTTTTCAACTAAATGTTAATGACTAGCTCAAATTAAACAAGAAGCTACATAAGTAGTTGATCAACAGTCCTTTCTAGCATGCAAAATGATTTTATAAATTGTGTTGATTTTGTGTGTAATTTTAGAACCAATTAGATCCAATTTTTTACCCGTTTGAGCTATTTTGTAGTTTTTGTACTATATATTCATTATTTAATTGTTTTGTTTTAGTATTTTTGTATTATATTACACATTTTAATACATTTATTTACTGTTCTTTTATTTATTTATTTATTTATTTAAATACGTAATTGAATAAGTTTTAGTTCAATTATTATTATGAAAAATACTTCCATGGCAGGTACCTAAAATAAAAATTAAAAAACACAAATACAAATAGAAGTGCTTTTGTTTTTTATTGATTTTTATGATTTCATTGAAATGGTGTTGTATTATTTATTTATTTTATTTTAATTAATTTATTCCAACTACTATTATAAAAATTACTTCCTTGTTGAGAACCTGAAATAAAAATAAAACATACAAATAGAATTGCTTTTTTATTTTATTTTATTTTATTTTATTTTATTTTATTTTATTTTATTTTATTTTATTTTATTTTATTTTATTTTATTTTATTTTATTTTATTTTATGTGATTTCATTGAGATAACGTTGGTATTTATTGATTTATTCATTGATTTATTAATTCATTAATTCATTCATTTATTTTTATTTTTTATTTATTCCAACTGTTATTATGAAAAATACTTCTGTGTCAAGTGCCTGAATGGATTCTATGCACAGCTAGAGTTTTAAGGCCAACAATAAACTTCCAGTTTCAATTTAAATTTTCAATTTCACAAGGCTGTTTTTACAGCATCAGTGCTGTACTGTAATTACAATACATTCAGTTAAATAGACTTAAGCATTCCGTTAGTTGTTCATGCGTAAATCGAGATAAAAGACCATTGTAACCAATAACAACCGTCAGTAGTTACAGGCTAGCGCAAAAATTCTATTGAAAATACTGGGGTACAATAAACTGTCATGTTTTAAAGAAGTGGGCAAGGGGAAATAGATTTTAATGCAGTACTTCTTGTCCAATCTAAGAACCCGCCTTATATCGTATATATATCTAACAGGCAGTGACGATTGCTGATTTTTAAAGAAATCAGATCTTAAAAGTGACAATTTTGTAATGGAAAGACAGTTAACCAGAAGCCGCGGGCTGCCTGACTGAAAAATAAAAGTCTGTGTGCTGTGCATATAGCCCATTCAAAAAATAAGTAAATAAAATACAAATATAAATAGAAGTGCTTTTATTTTTTGATTTGATTTTATGCGATTTTATTGAATTAATGTTGTATTATTTAATAATGTTATTATTATTATTATTATTATTATTATTTATGTGTATTTTTTAATGTATTATTTTTTTATTTCAACTACTATTATAAAAAATACTATCTACAATAAAAATAAACATAAAAAACACAAATACAAAATAATTTTTATGACATTTCACTGAGATAAGATTGTGTTATTTGTTATCATTATTAGAATTAATGTTATTATTTTATGTAATATAATTGAACTAACATTGTATTGTATATTAATGTTTTATTATTATCATTATTATTATTATTATTTTGTTAATTCTTTTAAAGTTCATTCCAACTATTATTATGTAAAATACTTCTTATGGCAAGTTCCTGGACATTTTTTAATAATATTTAATGTTTTTTTTGTTTTGTTTTGTTTTTCACTGTGATAACATTTTATTGTTAAGTATTATTATTATTTTTATTATAATTATTATTATACAAACTTTTAACAATTCCAATACAGTATTGTTTTTAAACTTAATACAGTATAACCTGAAACTTGTAATTATTATGATACAAATAAATGCACCATGCAAAAATAAGAAACATAATACAAATAAACAATAAGATTTGACATATGGATCATTATACTTAAACTCTTGTCTTGTTTCTCCTGCAGATCATCAGCTTATTAAACGTCTTCACACCACAGAAGTCTTTAGAGGAATTCCAAGACGTGTGAGTAACGACTGAACAATTTCCAGACATGATCTCATCTGATTATATCACGTTAAACACTTGTTCAGTTAATGTTAAGACAAGTCATGTAAAAGGTTCTGCCCCTAAAATCTGAAGGAAGAGCCATATTTGAATCCAATAAATAAACATTCTAAACAATCCCGTGATCTCACATCAGTGTCATTCCACATACTGTATACACTACCTGACAAAAGTCTTGTCATCTGACCCAGTTGTAAGAGCAATAAATAATAACTTGAATTCTAGTTGATCATTTGGAAAAGTGGAAGAAGGTAGATTTTTCCGATGAATGATCTGTTGAACTGCACCCAAATCATCAGACATGAACATTATTGTGCATGGGTAAAATGGAGGAAGACGCAAGAATGCTTTCTTTGCCATTCCAGAAGACTTTATTAAGTTTCTTGAGTCATTGCAGAGATGTATGGATGCAGTCATCCAAACTCATGGGCATCCCAATATTAGTTCTTTTCCCACTGCACCATGACTTTATATTCTATACTGTACACTATTTCTGTTAAGTGAAAAGAGTAATTAAAAATCAAGGCAAGATTATCTTTAATTTTGGCAAAATATGCGTAATATAGAGGCCTCTGCCTTTCATATTAGCCTCTTCTGATATCAAATGATCAAATAGAAGTCCATTATTTGTTTTTTTCTAAAACTTGGATAGGCGACAAGACTTTATACAGTATGTAAAATTACACTACCTGTCAAGAGTTGAAGACAAAACCAGTTAGCTATTGGGTTTTCATTTCCTGAGTTGTTGCTGCTGTCAATTCTGAGATATTGGGCTTTTCATAAAGTGCTTTTTATAAAAACTTTTTTTTCTCTTTTTTTTTTATTTGTCACACTTTATCAATTTCTGTCTGCAGCCTTTAATTATAGTAGACCATTTTAAAGGCTATTCTACAAAAGAATTCATTTTTTTACATTTTTTCACAGTTTTATTTATTTCATGAAGGCTTTTACAGAAATACATATTCATTATCAAACTGCAAAAAAATGTTTCAAATACTAATTAATTAAACTTAAGTGTTTTAACAAATTTAAACCTTAATCAGCTTACAGGGCCAGGGCAACCCCGATGGATGTTTCCTAATTTTTAATATATGTTCCCTTCATCTCAGGGGCATGAAACTCTCCAACTTTTCCTAAAAAAATCTCTTAAAACACACTTTATTCAATTGTTTTAAAGGTGTGTACATTTTTTTAAATCAGTCACGGGAAAACTAATTCCAAAATTATGGCATAGTTGTATGCTAGTGTAGTAAATGGATAAAAAAAAATCCACACAAAAAAAGATAAAATATGGTTTATCAAAAGAAAAGAATAATATATATATATATATATATGATGATCACATCCAAAATAAAAGTTTGTATTTACAGGATGTGTGCAAACTCACTGTATAAATATTGTGTATATAAGAATAAAAATATATAGGAAATACAAAAAAATTAGGCTAGTTATTGTATGACGATGGTTTGTTCTGTAGACAATTGAAAAAATATATAGCTTAAAGAGGTTAATGATTATGTCCCTAAAATGGTGTTTAAAAAAAATCTAAAACTTTTATTCTAGCCTAATTAAAACAAAAAAGACTTTCTCCAGAAGAAAAAAAATATTATCAGACATACTGTGAAAAATTCTTAGGTCTGTAAAATCATTTGGGAAAAATTTAAAGAAAAACAAACTCAAAGGGGGCTAATAATTCTGAATTCAACTCTGTGTATACACACACACACACACACACACACACACACACACACACACACACACACACACACACACACACACACACACACACACACACACACACACACACACACACTAAACAGAACTCAAAAATCATCTGTGGTAAAACTTAAGAAAAAAAATGTGAATATATTATTTTTAGGGCCCCCTATTCACCTAGAGTTTTAGCTTGATAATATAAATGTTTTTGATTATTTTTAATGTGCTACGGACATTTATGCAATGTGGGGTTGATTGCAGCAGGGCTGAAGGTGTTTGTGACGATGATTGATCACCTGCAGTCATTTATATGCTTTCGCTCTCTGGTTTGTTCCTGAAGCTTAAATCTCTTATGCTTCATGGTTGAATTTATTCTGCATGCTGTGTGGATTTCCTCTAGAGATGATCAATATGAGTCTGAAACTTCTCACTCAAAACTGCTCACGTTTGACTAAACCGCTCATGCAAACTAAAATATTATAAATCAACAAAATATGAAACTAGTTTGCCACTGCCACGTTACATTTTTCATCTTTGTGACCTTTGAATGTTATTATTATTATTATGTTTACTATTATTATTATTATTATTAAATTATATAATTTGCTTTTGCTTACCTGTTATTATTATTATTTATTATTATTGATAATTATTAATAGTAGTAGTAGTATTTAATAATAGTAATACTAACAATGACAATAATAAATAAATAAATATATATGTACAGTTGAAGTCAGAATAATTAGCCCCCCCCCTTTTTTTTATATTTCCGAAATTATGTTTAACAGGGCAAAGAAATTTTCACAGTGTCTGATAGTATGTTTTGAAAATCATAGTAAATTTCATAGTAAATAACAAATATAATAAATATAGGTACAGATCATTTATTATTTACAGGCAAAGCACTTAAAATTATTATGAAATTATTATTTGATATTTAAAAATATATTTTGCTATGTAGCTTTATTTCTGAAGGTTTAACTTTCTGTTGTGGTTTTCTCACCAAATAAAATAATAACATGTATGGAGATGTAAACACACACACACACACACACACACACACACACACACACACACACACACACACACACACACACACACACACACACATATATATATATATATATATATATATTTTTTTTTTTTTTAAACTGTAGTATTGCACCTTTAAATAATCCATTAAGGGTCAGATCTCTGTTTAATTCTTTTCATAACACAAAATAAATAGCAAATATGACATTTAATCCCTAAAGGCACAGCCACAGCTTCTGAATGCTCATCAGAAAGCAGTTGATTGTACAATTGACTTTAATCGAGAATCCCATTCAGACTTGCTGACTGTCATCAAACAGCAAGTATTTTCTCTGCATAAGAGCTTATAATGATCCACATTGATCCACAGCGGCCTCTATTGTGCCTTAAAAAGACATGAATGAAGCCACGCCAATGAAATATGACACATTTAAAGAGGACTGTCACTGTTGCTGTTATTCGGCCACTACAATTCATATCATTTTTTCTCATCGCTTTAGTTACCTGGTCATGGAGCTGATGGATGCAAACCTCTGCCAGGTCATTCAGATGGAGCTGGACCATGAGAGAATGTCCTACCTTCTCTACCAGATGCTGTGTGGAATCAAACACCTGCATTCAGCTGGCATTATCCACAGGGTGAGAGAGATATACCTGCACATATACAGTTGAAGAAATTATTAGCCCTCTTGGGATTTTTTTTTTTTCAAATATTTCCAAAATGATGTTTAACAGAGCAAGGAAATTTGCATAGTATTTTCTATATTTTTTTCTGGACAAAGTCTTGTTTGTTTTATTTCAGCTAGAATAAAAGCAGTTTTTAATTTTTGAAAACTATTTTAAGGTCAGTATTATAAGCCTGCTTAAGCAATTATTTTGTTAGATTGTCTAATAACCAATAAACAAACATTGTTATACAATGGCTTGCCTAACTACCCTAATTTGCCTTATTAACCTAGTTAGGTCTTTAACCGTCACTTTAAGCTGTATAGAAGTGTCTTGAAAAACATCTAGTAAGATATTATATTTTATTTATATTTTTATTATATATTATTTACAGTCATCATGGCAAATATAAAATAAATAAGTTATTAGAAATTAGTTGTTAATACTATTATGTTTAGAAATGTGCTTAACTTCTTTCCGTTAAACAGAAATTGGGAAAGAAATATACAGGAGGGCTAATAATTCAGGAGGGCTAATAATTCAGGAGGGCTAATAATTCTGACTTTAACTGTACAAACAGATACAGAGTGGAGATCAGAATTATTAGAATCGCTGCATGTTGCAGAAGACTTCTTCCAGTGAGAAAAAATTACATACAACTTCACAAGACGGCAAACAATTGTGCCATGTGTCTGCCTCTTATTGATGTTTTTTTTTTAAATATTGCATTTAAGATTTTTTAAATGTGCTGTAAAGTGGTCGCACACCGGATGCACTGCTCAGCACCGCGCACATGACAGTTGGAAATATCGCACACCAGACATGCACATTCGAATGTAATTTAATATAAAACAATTCAGATGGCTATTTAGGGCTCAGTAGAAATATGAACAGTGTCCTTAGTCGTTGCTGGGCACGACCGACTTGCCGCGTCTGTCTGCGTACACTAATGTAAATCTATGTTTAGAATTTTAAAATGCATAGCGTTGACATATAGAATACTAGATAAATTGGATGTTTATCAGAGTAGATGGGGAAATTACTTGCCATTTTTGGAGAAGGAATAAGGTCATTGTGGTGAGACGCACACCAAAATTGTAATTATTTATTTATTTATTATTATTATTTATTTTATTTTTTCCATTATTTATTTATGTCTTATTGTATTGTTACTGTTCCTATAAGTATTTGTGCTCACAAATGAAGGGGGGGGATAAGGGGATGTTAAAAGGAGGTAAAATGTATAAACTGATTGTATTGTGAAATTATTGAAGCAAAACAAAATAAAAAATGAATCCTAAAATGCATAGCGTTGCGTGGTGCGTCGTCGATCGGCAAATTTGGTGTGTGACCTCCTTCAGAGTTTGTAACTCAGAAAATATAGGAATGCACAAAAATGGAAAACCAAAAAACGCACTTGACCGCAAACCAAAGACGAATTTAAAAACGCTTTGTAATAATTACTTACTATTTTATTAAATAATACAATTTTGTAAGATTTTCTGACAGTGAACGAGTCGAGAGGCCTAATTTTTTTTTTACCAACGCTGCCATGACAGAACAGTAGCACTACTGCAAGCAGCAGGGATAACTTCTACATGGATATGTCTTAACTGCGTTATTTAGGCGACCTTTGTTTTTTCGTAAACATGTGCAGTTTATGCATAAATAGGAATAGTTCATGAACAAAATATCAACATGGCAAAATATTGACATTGAACTATTTGCTGCTCATGCGCTTTAGTCGATGCAGCAAAAAACTCGTAATAAAATGAATGGGTCATCCAAATAAAATGAATGGGTTTCATAGCGCAGCGCTTTCTATGTCCAGTGTGAAAGTCGCTTCCCTCTGTGCAATGACTACAGCTGAAGAGAGTGAAACCAGTGCACTGAACATTCCTGTGCCCATTTTTCTTTTTCTTTTTTTCTGAAAACTGAAGCTACTTTAGGTCGATAATTTTCAGATTCAACATTTGGTGCATCCCTAATAAAATATAGTAAAATTGCTTAAATCTAAAATTGCTGATAACCCTTTATAGAAATAAGCAGTGACCTCAGAATTTGGAGAATTGTACTGTGGGTTCTTTAATTTTGCTCTCCACTATTGGTGAAATCAGTAGAACTTAAAGGAATCGTTCACCCAAAATAAGAATCCACCATGACTTAATTCATCATTATTCATAATTTTTCACCACAGTCTTGCTCTAAATTTCCTTGTTTGTTATTTATCCCATTAAGGATTTGAAACCTAGCAATATTGTGGTGAAATCCGACTGCACGCTGAAGATTTTGGATTTCGGCTTGGCAAGAACTGCTGGAACTAGTTTTATGATGACCCCCTATGTGGTGACGCGGTACTACAGGGCCCCGGAGGTCATTCTGGGCATGGGCTACAAGGAGAACGGTAAACCAAGCATATAGGAGATTGATCAACACTTTCAAATAACATTACACTTTCGAATAACAATACACTACTGAGCCTTGTTTACACCTTTTTCTTATTCTTTAAGCATAAATTCTTTAAGGGGGGGTTCAAATCAGGACTGGTTAAGTTTTGTTTAAAAATTGTTACCATAAGCGATGTTATTGTCATTTTGAGATCATTTTATCATTTACACTGATTATATACAATGATAATATAACATTGCAAAAAGCCATAAACTTTAACTTTAAAATACTTAACGTTATTAAGGTTATTTAGATTCTATAATTTTATGTTAAAAAGTTCAATCCTATAATATATACTATTAATGTTCCATCACGTAAATATCCAAATATTAACTTTGACACTAATGAGGTAGAATGTAAATGTCATTGTAAAATGGCTTTAACGTTATTTGTAAATATATATTGCACAAAAAAAAAAGATACAATGTACATGTACAAATATTACACAATAAGTTAATATATTGATTATTGTGACAGGCCTAACTGTTGTTGTTTTTTTTCAGTCATTTTTTTTAGGCTTTAAAAGCAAATTTAAATCTGGTCTGGTTAGCTTGTGTCAGAAACACAATCTGTAATGTCAATTATTTGATCGATAGGTGAATATTTGAGTGTTCACCCATATACAAGTTAACTCTATGAAAGCAGTTCTATCAAAGGCATTTTCTACTACCTCTGGATGTGGAAGCTCATACTATTTCAGCCCTGTATTAAGCAGTTTTGCATCTTAATACCAGGTAAAAAAAATCTAAATAAAAGGTTAATATACATCTAATTAGTATTTTGCATAAAGCAGTATGTTTTATGCAAACAATATAGTACACAATTATGTAGTCAAGTGTCCTCACCGAATGGCACATTTAATTCAGAAAAATCCTAATTTTGAAAGTAAATTTGGCTATTTTGGATCATGTTTGAATTTTGAATCATGCTCTGCACGAAAACGTCCAGCCTTTTTAACATAATATTCATATAATAAGATAATTCATAACTAACTATTGGTAATGTCTGCGTAATTTTCATAACCAGAGCTTATTAACTTCCTATTTCATTAGGAAAAAATGGATAACAAAAAATAAACTTGTTCAACACCAACATGTATATATTTAACCCTCCTGTTGTCTTAAAAGTTTGTGTACCTGTACATCGTTTCCCCTTTGAACCAAATAGTTTTTAGCAAGACAGTATTCGTAAAAGTTTCTTACAAGCAGATTCTTATTGTGTGTGTGTAGGGGTGAGTGCATGGGAGTTGCGCCAACCTGATTTTACCAAGTAGGACATGTTTCTGGATTAACATCCATGTTGATCCTGTAACAACATTCCAATCAGCCAATCAGAATTAAGGGATATGTTTACCGTTTACGTTAAGCTTAGACTTACGGTTAGGTTTATGCACCTCTGTATGAATGCTATCCAAATATTATTCCCCTCTGATTTTGGGAATAATTTACAGTTATGGTTGGGTTTAGGAGTGAATAGAGATGGATTACATTTTCTAATAAAAGTAATGTTCCACGATGTTAATCCAGGACCGCATCATATTGGCAAAATCAGGACATACATGGGAGGTGTTAGTGTTGGAGTGTGCATGTGTGTCCCAGTAGTTCTTATGGTGTAAAATGATTTTATAGCTGGTGTTGGTTTTATTCAACCGTTGTACACAAAATGTGTACAGCCTTCACGAAAATATGAAAACACAATTTTTTTTTATTATTATTATTTTGGGGTAATTTTAGAAAAAGTCACCAAACTTCAACACATTAAAACATTGTTTATGGGTTATTTCTGCTGTTAAAATCATTTTTTGACGCATAAGTCAATAGGAGGGTTAAATATTTACTGTAGTACAAATAAAGTTTTAAATTTTAAGCATTAATGATTACATTTTGTGCTAACTTGCTACTAGCGTGCTAAAATACTAACATATTTCACTGCTAGAACTCATTAAAAAGCTAAATAATCGTGTGTAGAGGTCAGGCTATGGATTTCCTTCCGGAGGTCTGTTTTGATCTGAGCAGTTGTGGAATAATGCTTTTGTCTAATTACATGTGTGGCAGATAGAATTAGCCAAAGTGATACAGCTCGCGTAGGTCTTTCTCTCTCTCCATCACTGATGACTGTTTGTGCTAACGCTAACCTCTCATTTTCTTTCCTTTTACTCTCCGTCATGCTTCTTTGCCTGCAGTGGATATTTGGTCAGTTGGTTGCATCATGGGAGAAATGGTGCGCCACAAAATCCTATTCCCCGGCAGGGACTGTATCCTTCATCAATCGCTCCAAACTAATCTTGACTTATATGGCATAAATGATACAAGCCAATGAGAAATTAGCATCAAGTATGAGAGAAAGTTATCGAAATTAGCATCAATCAAAGAGTGAAGATACTAAAACTTCAGTATTTGGATAAATAAACGGATGTGCATCTGTGGGAGACTTTTTAAATTACTTTGAACATTTTTTATTTACAATATTAGGGCGACACAGTGGCGCAGTAGGTAGTGCTGTCGCACAGCAAGAAGGTCGCTGGTTCGAGCCTGGCTGGGTCAGTTGGCATTTCTGTGTGGAGTTTTCATGTTCTCCCTGCGTTCACGTGGGTTTCCTCCGGGTGTTCCAGTTTCCTCCACATTCCAAAGACATGTACAGGTGAATTGGGTAAAGGCTAAATTGTTCGTAGTGTATGAGTGTGAATGAGTGTGTATGGATGTTTCCCAGAAATGGGTTGCAGCTGGAAGGGTATCCGCTGTGTAAAAACATATGCTAGATAAGTTGACTGTTCATTGCACTGTGGCAACCCCAGATTAATAAAGGGACTAAGCCGAAAAGAAAATGAATGAATGAATGAATGAATGAATTTACAATATTTATAACCAGCGGTTCATTCTGCTGTGACGACCTCAGATTAATAAAGGGACTAAGCCTTTATAAATATAAATATTTTTATAATTGTTTGCATAGCTATATTCTATCAGTGAAATCATCTTTTTATCAAGCATAATAAATTCTGTAGAATTTTTATTTTAATTTAATTTTATTTAATTATTATATTTATTTATTAATTTTTTTCTGTCCAAAAAAATAGTGGGTTTTTAATTATATTAAATTTTAATGTTTACATGTTTATAGATACAGAAGTAAATAATTACTTATACATTTTATTTTTATATTTTAAATAATAATGTATTATAACTATTGTAAAAATGTTTTACTGTGAAATATGGAAGAGATTTTTTATTTACAAAACAGTATAGTTTATATGACTATATATGAGCATATCAGGGTTTCTGCAAGTTTCACCAAGTTAAATTTAAGACTTTTTAAGACCATTATAAATGAAACTTTAGACTACAGGGCTAAATGCAAAGGATTTTTTTTTCTCTCGAATATCCCAGTGAGAAAAGATTTTCACTTGCCCTATCAAAAAATTATTAAAAACTAATACATTTAATAATACAATAATAGTAATTTTTGTTTAAATATTTTTTTATTAACTTTTAAATATATCCATTTACAAGCCCTATAACCCTTACCAAGAATAGAACAAAACAAAGCTATCAGTTACTTCAGTCTACAATAATAATAATTGAATAATAAAACATTTAGGTCAGGTCAGTATCCTGAGCAGTAAATAAAAGAATAACTTTTATGCAAATATTATTGAAAGTAATTAATGCTATTTTTTAAATAAAAAGTTAAAAGTTTTGTTGAGATTGTTGTTGATTGTATGGGTTTTAAGGGCCAGATTGGGTAGCTATACATGAACAAAAAAATAAGACCTGAAGAAGATTCAGGACCAACAACACAACATTTTTAGTAGATTTTAGATTTTAGAGTAGATTAAGTAGTTAAGACCTAAAATGTAGCTTTTGAGACTTAAGACATTTTAAGACTCCGCTGATATCCTGGTAGCTGATAATTTATCTTTCATTCATTCATTCATTCATTTTCTTGTCGGCTTAGTCACTTTATTAATCCGGGGTCGCCACAGCGGAATGAACCGCCAACTTATCCAGCAAGTTTTTATGCAGCGGATGCCCTTCCAGCCGCAACCCATCTCTGGGAAACATCCACACACACACACATTCACACACACACTCATACACTACGGACAATTTAGCCTGCCCAATTCACCTGTACCGCATGTCTTTGGACTGTGGGGGAAACCGGAGCACCCGGAGGAAACCCACGCGAAGGCAGGGAGAACATGCAAACTCCACACAGAAACGCCAACTGAGCCGAGGTTCAAACCAGCGACCCATTGACCTTCTTGCTGTGAGGCGACAGCACTACCTACTGCGCCACTGCCTCGCCCCTAATTTATCTATTATAGTCATTTTATATTTTTTTAATTCTTAATTTTTAATTTTTAAAATTGTCTTTTTTTTTTATTAGATTTTATTTGTAGAATTGTTTTATAATTATTTTGTACAGTTATTAATAATGAAAATAAATGCACAACAAAATAAAGAAATATATTTTGCATCTCATATCAATTCTTTTCAGGATTTTGCAGTCCACGACACTTGACCTGACCAGAGTTCATCTGTTCAAGCATAACTAATCGACTAGGCTGTAGTTCTCTAACCCGCAGGCTTCATTTGGCTTTTTTCTCCTTTAGGTGCTATTTAAACATCCAAATGTTGTTTCAATCTCTTATTGTCACTTTCATTCCCTTCAGTCCTCTGAATATTGAAGATGTTGTTCATTAAGATGTTGTGGGATCATTGTCTGATGAGTTTGATGTCAAGCTCCGGTGCTTTCTCCTTACCGCGGTGTAGTTATTCCTTCTATAATAGGACGCGGTTCTCTTTTAATTGGCATTTAGAGACAGTAAAACAAGTGATATAATGATTCAGTCACAATCGCCCTCTCTCCAGTTACTCATTACTTTGAACTTCACTTCTCTGATGCTAATGAAACCTAGAGAGTTAAATAGCAGTTATAGACAAGTTAGTCACTGGCAAACAGTGCTTGTTTTCTGCTCTCCAAACTGCAATTAAGGTATTGATCCTGTAGACCAAGCCTGGCTTATTTGGCTCTTTTTACAAACTCATTAACACATGCTTAAATTGACTTCACTATGCTGTTGATACCTCTAGTCTTTGAGGCTCTGGCTCTGTTTTTTACTAAAGCTATTTTAAAAATGCCCTTATTATGCTGTGTTTAAGATTCCTAGTCACCTACAATATGTTTTCAATCCATAAAAGCTCAAGAAGCACTTGATTTTCTCATATTATACATTGCAGTATCAGCTCTTTTCTCACAATGTCTGAAATGGTTACTACATCGATTAGGGCAGAATCTGAATTCATTTACTATTCCCTAGTCGAAACTAGACAGAAATTCATTTGCCGCACAAACTCTCAAAGGGCATTATGGGTTTTCTCTAGCTGTTGAATGTACATAGGATGTACACTTGTTATTGTGGTGTATTGTGGGATTGATTGAGTTCACTTCAAAACGTCCACTATGGTTTCAGACTCCACTACAAATGGCTGCTGCTTCAAATAGTGCACTCCTACCCTATACTGGGTATAGGGGAGGGGTTCTCAAACTTGGTCCTGCTAATAATGATGACATTATACAAAAGCAAATTGTTATGAATGAACTAAAAAAAGCCTCCCGAGATGAAGAAGGCATAAAAGCAGTGGTTTGTCATATTTATGTAGGCTATAAAATAATATGTTTTGTAATATTTTAATCCTTTATATTTGTATTTTGTATATATATTCTTATTATATATTATCTATATCCTTAATATTAAAATTTTTTCATATGTAAAGATATTTGTTTATTGCTCTACATCTTTTGTGTATTAAGCAGTGTGTAAGCGAGGAGTTTAGACCGGGTTTGTTTTGGTCTATTGAATAATCTATTATAGTTTCTCAAAATAGCAACGTGCCAGCAATGCGCCTCAGAACGCCTTCCTTTGTAGACCAGAACGCCTATGGGCGCACATATGAGCGCAAATGCATTTGCTATTTAAACAGCGTGGCGCAACGCCTCAAAAAGACTCTTGCGCCACATTGCGCGAGGTGTATGATAGGGCCCTTTAACTCACATGAACTATTCAAGCATTATTTTAAAAGGTTACTAATGACATTTTAGTGAGGGTATTCTGTAAATCACAATCAAAATGTATGATTTTGCATCCAGATACTATTGTAACAGGGTGAACTTCAAGAATATTACAAACATATTAATTTTGTTTGCATTCAGTTTTGTGCCTGCTACATATACATCTTTGGCTTTGGCACAAGAAATGTCCCCTTAATGTCTTTTCGATCATATCACATTCTGCCAACCTGCTTTAGATTATTTTAACACAGAGGGCTCCAATCTCCTTCTTTAATAATAAATTGGAATATTTAACGCATGAATATGAAGGATCGCATTATCTCACTGGACCAGAGCGGGTTCATAAGTGAAGTGAAGTGAGCGACTCTTTGATGGATAATCTTTAAAATATGTCACATTCAATTTCCTCAGTCAGTGCTCTTATAAATCTGTCGAGCCGCTTGGCTAGATAGCATTTTCAATAATCATAGGTAGAAGCCAAAATGTAGATAGCATAATTCATATACATTTAGAAATCACTGCCAGTACGCATGTATGCATTACCAAGAAAAACTTGAACATGCATTGAAACCAGCTTTGTGAAAACCGGCAGAAGAGTCCTTGCAGTTGCTAATAATAAATATTAACATATTAATAATAGAACAACTACTAGAATAAATGAAATCAAGCCTCTGGCTTTCTAAGTAGTGTTATAATTCAGATATTTAAAAAAAAAAACAGTGTATGTCACTTCACAGTATGTGGTGTATGGAGTGTCTGTTCGTATGGTGTGTATGTCTGTGTGTCATGTAATGCTGATCGTATGTTGTGTGTGTGGTGCAGTGGACATGTGGTCTGTAGGCTGTATCTTTGGGGAAGTTATAAGAGGAACTGTGCTGTTTCCAGGGACAGATCGTATCCTTCCCTTCTGTCTGTTCTCCACTTCTCACTGCTGTCTCTTTTCATAGTTTACTTGCCAACTTTGAGAGTATGAATGTGTTTGTATATGTAAAATACAGAAAATATGTCATATAAAAATATCTATTCCTCCATCCATCTAGAGTATCTATCTATCTATCTATCTATCTATCTATCTATCTATCGAAAATTTATATCTTTATCCATTTCTCAGTGAATATAGATCATATATTTTGGTGCATTTGAACAAAACAGATTAAGCCGATACATTTAATAAAATAATGT